GCCCCCCCCCCCCTTTTTTTTTTTTGATTTGGTATTTTTTCAGAAACCACCTGCCAACCCTGCTGGCCTGGAACCCAGAAGGCTGGGCTGAGATCCCCGACCAGTCCTTGGAAGTGGCCAGGGTGTTGGAAACGCCAGACAGACAGCAGCTCTGGAAAGACTTTGAATTCTGCGGAAGGAGAAGATGGTAGGACAAAGCCACAAAGAACAGACTGCAGTCCCAGGAGCGAGAGGTAGCCTGGGAGAAGACCTCAAGAGAGTCTAGCGCAAGCCTAGCAGAACTAATTCCCAGGGCAGCCAGCAGGAGCTGCCGCTAGCAGACTCAATGATAGCGCCCAACATAAAAGGCCAGCAAAATGGGGGTCATCCAATGAGGAGGGAATACAAGCTCCAAAATCAAGGGCCTTCCACAAACAATGCTCAGCCCCCAGATGGTCACACCCTTGCGGCTGGTCAGCACGTTTGAACCGATCTCAGCTCTCACAAAAGCGCCATTGTTCGCAGATACTCCACTGTATACAGATTCAGGCCCCCGTTCCACAAGACACTTCAACCTAACCTGAGCCCACGGTTGCACCTGACGAGGCGGTTTTGACCCACGAACGCTGATACCCCCCATGCATCCGTGAGTCTATAAGGTGCCACAGGACGCCTCGTGGTCTGTGAGCACGCGAGTGGTTCCATTCGGTTCGCGGGAACAACTCCCATGTTCAAGTTGGGCGCCGTGGCTCGCTGAAGCTGGGCCCTGGAGCTGGATTTAGCACAGTGAAGTCAATGTGGGTCTTCCCATCGACTCTACCGGGCTCTGCTCAATAGCCACTGTTTCAATTCCAAGACTAACTACTTGTGTGCACCTTAGTATTTGCAACATGCTGCCATAGCTGTAGGTTTCATGCTACTTACACGGGGGCAGGGAAGCACCTACATGGTCCTTTATAATCTTTAAAAGAGGCCAGTGAGACAAAGAGTATTCAGGCGTTCAGCCAGGGCAGTAAAACCTTCTGCACGATTACACCACATGGTCCAGAGGTACCTGAGCTATACGCACAATAAAAGCTAGTCAGTGTTGTCACTTTAACACAATGTGAACTATTAGCTTTCACGACTGCCCTGGGTAAATAATAGGCGCATCGTATCCACCAGAAGGAACAAATATTGGCACAGGATGCTGATAAAACACGGCTTGGAACTTTGAGGCCGGGGCCCAGCTTGGATGATTCTGACTGACAAGAGGTTGATCTCACTCCTGGCAGAAACACTTGGGCCCAAAACAGCCTTTTATGCGCCTCGCTCTGTGAGCAACAGAGCCCCGAGCGCCCCGCTTGGTCCCCGTTCCTTTGGGACGGCGAGGGCGGCGACAGAGCTCCACGAGAGATCGGCTGGTGGTGCCCGGCCAGGCCAAAGTGCCAGGGAGGGACGTGCGTCCTTGAATCCAAGCCACGGACGTGGACACCACAGCATAGTGAGGACAGACACACGGATGGATTTAAATGAGGATACTGAATTACTTCCAGGCCGGGAGTGGGGGGGTGGACACAGAGCTTCTTAATGCTCAATCTGTCACTAGCACCACGAGTGCAGAGCTCTAACGTATCACCCGTACCTTGCGGTAGCCTCTCCTCCTCCTGCCCCCCCCAAGACTCAGCGCTCTAAGTCCTGGTCCCCTTCCCACTGCAAGGGGATAGAGGGTGCAGAAAGGTGGGGATGGCACCCTGCCACACGTCCCAACGTCAGACCCTGCTCCAGGATCGCAGGGCGTCGTATCTCTGGGAACCGTCCATTACAGGCTGCCACCGACTTTCAACGAGATCGGTTATCGGGACACCATCACAAGTCAGGGGCATCGTAACTTGTGCCCGCATTTACGACAGGCATCATGCGACATTGTAAATGTGGGGCCGAGGACATAAGTTGGGGGATTTCTGCCCCTTCCACACTTACGAAAAAAGTCATAAGTGTGGGAGGTCGTAAATTGGGCTTTCGTAAAGCGGGGGCCACCTGTACATTCTCTTAGCCACCCTGGCAACCGGCCACAACTTGTGATGAATAAACAGCTCCGCCCCACAACCTCAGTTGGGTACCAAGCGCCTTCCTACTGACCCCTCTGAGCCTGAAGGTGTTGCTAGGAAGCAGAAAACTCTCCCATCTTCTGCCAATTGGCTCATGGGAGAAAACACTCCTTCCTGACCCCACATGAGCAACTGGCTAGACCAGCGGTTTTCAGCCAGCCAGTACAGGGTCGCACAATCTCAGGCCCTGGGTCACCTGGCTGTAGGATGACCCAGTAACTGGGGGGGGTGCTAAGGCAGGTTTCCTGACTGCCCTGGCACTGCGGACCATGCTGTGCCCCGGAAGTGGCCAGCAGCAGGTCTGGCTCCTAGGTAGGGGAGCCGCAGGCTCCGTGTAATGCCCCTGCCCTGGAGACTGCTCCTGAACCCCAGACCCCTTATTCCTGCTCTTCCTGCAGAGCCCACATTCTAGTCAAAAGATACAATGATGTTGGGTCGCAAGCATCTGCTTGTTTGCTTCAGCTGAGTCGCAAGCAAACAAGATTGAAAACCTCTGAGCTGGATTCTGTCCAGGGCACGTCTAGACAAGTTTTTACTTTTGAAACAAGATATGCAAATTTGGCGGGAATTTGCATATTTTCTTCCGATTGCTTTTGCAAAAGAGTTTCTTTCGAAAAAGCAAGCAGTCTAGATGTGGTTCTTTTGGGGAAAAACAACCCTTTTTTTGAAAGAATCTATAAACCTCAATTTTTGAGGAAGAAGGTTCTTCCAAAAAAACGAGTTTGGGTTTTTTTTCCCCCGAAAGAACCGCATCTAGACTGCTTGCTTAACAAAAAAAAAAAAAAAAAAAACACCTCTTTTGAAAAAGTGATCAGAAGAAGATATGTAAATTACTGCCAAATTTGCATATCTTCTTTCGAATATAAAACGTAGTCTAGATGTGCCATGTCATTTGCATATCTTCTTTCAAAAATAAAACGTAGTCTTGATGTGCCATGTTGGTTGGGTTTCCAGTCCTAGTTTGGGCGGGTAGGGTAGGGCTGCTGGACCACAGTCAAAAGAGGCTCCACTGGGTTAAATCCCGAGAGACGGGGAAGGCAAACCAATCAGCACCCCTTCCCCCCAAGCGGGCCAACGGGTGCCAGAGATCCCCGAGGGGAGGAGCTATTATGCCCTTCATGAACGCCTGTCTCCCTAGCTGCTGGGACTGTCCCCTTCTATGGCCTGCCCCATCGATTTCCCCCACCACTGAGGCACGTGGGTGCCTGACCAGGATGCTTTCAGTAGTGAGGATTTCTCAAGAGGAATGACTAGCAAAGGCAGAGCGTCCCCTCTGCAGCTTGGCCTAATAAAACCGGCCCACAGAGCAGCCGCCTCCAACCTTTCTAAGCACAAGATCCCCCTTTCAATTTAAATCAATCCAGGATCCAACTTAAACTCAAATACCCTTGCCCCACCATCTTCCCCACGCCTTCTCTGAGGCCCTGCCCCTCCCTCACCTCCTTCCCCATGGCCCTGCCCGGCCCCTACCCCACTCCTTCTCAGAGGCCCTGCCCTGCTCACTCAGTGGAGATGTGGTGCTGAGGTAGGAAGAGGGGGAAACCCTGACAACACCATCCCCCTTTTCCCCCTCCCCTATCATGTACAGCAAAGCAGGAAGATCCGGGGGGGGAGGACGAGGCAGCTCCAAGGCAGAGGGCAGGAAACCATGGTAGCCGAAGTGCCGGCACAACATAATCTCCCGGCCAAACTAGTCAGGATCGTCTGTCAGAGGCTCCAGGACCTACCAACAGATCCCGATCGATTGGTCGGTGACCACTGCCTAGAAAAAAGCGGAACATCGAGGCACAAGGAGTGAAACTGGTGAGTGTATCCGAAGCAGACCGACAGCCTGGACGAGCGTGTGGCTGTGAATACTCTTTTCCAAACAGAGGGCCATCTGTCTCCAGCAGCAGCAAACACTGGCTGCACTACAGGGAGGTGGAAACACACACTGAAGAAATGAGTTAGAGAACAACCTCTCCACAAGAGGGTTGGTCTATGTCCTGCACCCAAAGGTCTTATCACCTCATTCTAAAATTCTTGGCTATATTAAAAAATCCTTTATAGAAGTTCCAGATTTATCCAGTTCTTCTTTGAGTCCTGCCAAGCTCTTGGATTTCTTGTGGCAATGAGTTCCACAGGCTGACTGAATATTGTGGGGGAACTCAGTGATTTATAACTCAACTAAAACATAATAAAGCAGAACTAAAGTGTATCACTAAGTCTTGCTATATTTCTTTGGGGAACCTCTAGTCCAGTAACACTTAATTAAAAGCCCCATGTTAAAAAAAGAAAAAAAAAGATACATCTGTCATTTGGCAAAGGCAGTGAATTCCAATCTACCTTTGGAAGCCTCTGTGCCAAATGGATTTTCTAGGATGTCCATCACGTCATGGCTCCAAGCGTCTTTCACAGCAGACTTGGACACCACCCTGTCATTCAGACGCTGCTGCGGTCGAAAGTTATTCCTCAGATACTCCACAGACTTGACGTGATCTTGCTGTTCTGTGGTAAAGATGGAATAAAACGCCTCCAGCTGAACGCGGCCATCAGGGCAGGGAAGACAAAAAAAAAAGAACATTAATTAGAAAAACAATGGGGTGAAATCTGGTTGGCCGATAAGCATGTGAAATAGCAGGAAATGCTGATACCGAGACTGACACAGGAAAGCAAACAATTGTTCTTAGACTCTCTTGTCTTCAAGCAGTTAGTATGTGCCCAGACAACCCTTCCTGCCTATCCCTCCTTGCTTATATTATGTTGCTTCTTATTATTATACTGGCATACTCATTCATTGCTCGCAAAATCTTTCTTCTGCACATAGTCCCTGCACTAATACTGAGGGATGACTTTTAGGTAGGAGATTTCATTGATAGATTTCCAAGCCTGGTACAAAGGAAGGTCAATAGCATCACTCGGGGAAACAGAGACACAAAGTGACTTGACCAAAATCAACGGGGTATCCAGGACAAAAACCAAGTTCTGATCCCTCATCCAACGGTGCGTCCCCTGGGCCACACTGAGTGTCCCCTTTCTCTCTCTGCTGTTGTCTACAAGAGACAACCCTAACCATGCTCCTGGCGTTTATTTTGTGTCATGTGCTTAGGTGCATTTAATTCTTTTGTATTTGCTGCAAGAGAACAGGTTGCTGCTTCCTATGCGGCTTGCAGAGCCGGGCTATTTTTAACTGTAACACATTCATTCCTAAGATATAATTGTAGTTTAAAAGAGCATTCCAGTAAGGAAAAATACCGGCAGGCTTCACTGAAAAGACTCAGTTAACTTGTTTGTTCAGTTGGCTGCTGAGGTCAATGCAGCATTTGTTCACAGCTTGTTATCTTTCAGAACTAGGAAGAACGACTGAGCAGGACAGCTAGGGATGCCAGGCACCCGGTTTTCGACCAGAACGCCCCGTTGAACAGGACCCCTCATGGTTCCGGCCAGCACCGCTGACTGGGCCGCTAAGAGTGTAGTCAGCAACGCAGCGGAGCGAAGGAAGCTCCTGGGAGCGGCCGGCGTGTCCCGGTGGCCTCTTGGTGCAGGGAGGCTCCAAGCACTGGCTCGGCAGCACCGACTGACCAGAAGCTGAGGCCAATGGAAGCTGTGGGCATGATACCTGTGGGCACAGAGCTGCCTGCTTGCCCCAGGGCCTAGGAGCCGGACACGCCGGCCTCTTCCGGGAGTTGTGTGGCGACAAGGCAGGCCGAGAGCTGCACCACCCACCGGGAGCTGCTGGAGAGAAGTGCCACCTGGCTGGAGCCCTCGCCCTGAACCCCCAACACGCAGCACCAGGTCAGAGCTCACTCCCAGAGCCTGCACCCCAACCCCTGCCCCAGTCTGGAGCCTCCTCCTGCAGACCGCACCCCAAAACCCTGAGCCCCCTCCCACGCTCCAAACTCCCAGTCTGCACCCCAAAACCTTCGTCCTTGGCCACACCCTGGATCCCGTACTCCCAGCCAGAGCCCTCTCTCCCTCCCATACCTCCAACACCCGGCCCGGCCTAGTGAAAAGGAGCAAGGGTGGGGGACAGTGAGTGACAGCAGGAGGAGGAAAGGAGCGAGTGGGGGCGGGGCTTGGATAAGGGGTGGACATGTGAGGGTGTTCGGTTTCGTGGGATGGAATCAGCAACCCGAAGCACACGGCACAAGGAATCTAATCCTGTCCTCCCTGAAGTCGGTGCTCTGGATTTTGGTGGGAGCAGGGTCTGTCCCAGGGACTCGAGTTTCTCTTGCTGCTTCATGCCATGCCGTAGTTTGAAAGCTCATCCTGCCTCCTTCTCCGTAAGTGCATTTACACTAAGAGCGACAGAGAAGGAAGTGACAAGTCTGAGACATGAACTAAGGACCCAGGGACACACACTCAACCCTATTACGTTGTCAGCCGTATCATCGCTAATTGCTTCTCTCTCAAAAAAAAAAAAATCCAAGAGAAGCTTAACAGACTGTCCAGGGTTGGGACTGGCCTCTGGGCGCCCACGGACATTACTTAATTGCCCTCACAGATCAGTGCTCTGGAAAGCCCCCATCAGTGCCACTGGCTGGGCTGCCCATTCTGCCGCGCTCTGTTGTTTCTAGCTCTTCCACTGACACCGGTATGGTTTCTTCTGACCACTTGGGCAGGCCCATGTTAAACGGGCCCACTTCACTTCAGTGTCGTCGGCCCGCCACGTGAAGACAAAAACGTAGGATTCTTGCCACCGGGAGCATCCCACAGACCGCTGGAAAAGGGAGGATGGCAGGGAGGTCTCGTGCATCTGTTACCCTGCGTCTGGCAAGGCTGTAGCCAGGCTGGGGACTTAGAACCAAGTCGCAAGAGACATCATCTGCCCTCGGATCAATACGCAGCTGGCACCTTGCACCTGTACAACCTTGAGAGGACTGGGGAAACTGAGGCGGAGAGGGGGGCGTAGCGCACACTGACCAGCTCTCACTGACCCTGTGTTATTTACTTTATGCAGAGAGCTTCCACAGGGAGCCATTTCAGCTCTTTTTTGCAAGGCTGTGGCTATCCATGCCCTTTCAGAGATGGGCATTTCCGAGCAAGCCACAACGGCGATCAAGAAATTCATGTGCCCTCATTGATGCAGGCAACTGAAAGATGCCGGAATGAAGGCTGGGGTGAGGGAGGTGCCTAGGCTTGTTATAGCTCAGACGCACAACTACAATTAGCCAGACTGCAGCATAGGGGCGTGAACGGGTACCAGTTAAACGGTAGCCAGGAGCAGCAAGCCGCCCGCGGTCGGGAGCTGGCAGAGGCAGGCCCCACTGGAACGTCTCCAATCCTGCACCATGGACTTCCTAACTAGCACTCTGGGTAGTGCCAGTCATGCACAAGCTACATCTTTGGGCCTCAGATGACGAGGGGCCTCTAAACACAAAGAAATTGCTCGTTTTTAGTTGCAGCCTCGGCCTATATGCAAATATGCAACTTGATTATTTCTATTTTCATTGTCCTTTCTGTTCGAATAAGACACCTTTTTCTTGGTAATGCTATGGGGCCTCAAACTTGACATAGTTTAGGGACTCTCAACATGTCTTAATCCGGCCCTGACTGGGGAAAGCTAGGCAGATCAAAGGGCGAAGAGACTATTACCCTACACTTTGCTTAGAAGAGAGGAAGACGGGAGAGAAACCACATGGGTCCTTCTATTCCCTTTTGGGCCCCGACTCTTCAAAGATTTATGCACCTTCTTAACTGTAAGCACTGGGAACAGTCTCAGGCTGTGTCTAGATTACAACCCTCTTTTGAAAGAGGGATGTAAATTAGACAGATCAAAATTGCAAATGGAGCCAGAATTTGAATTTCTCGTGCTTAATTTGCTTAATCCCATGCTTAATTTGCAGAATGGCACGTTCTTTCAAAAACGGGTATTTCGAAAGTGAAACTGCCGTCTAGACACGGTTCTTTCGAAAAAACCCTCCTTTTTTGAAAGATCCTCTACTACTCAAAAATGAGGTTTACATGATCTTTTGAAAAAGGGGTTCTTTTTTCCTGAAAGAAACACTTATAAATGGCTTTCAAAATACCCTTTTTTAAAGACTGCGCAGCCACCATTATGCAAATGGGGAAATTCAAATCCCAGTTTCATTTGCAATTTTGATCTAATTTACATCCATCTTTCGAAAGGCGGATGTAGTTTAGACATGCCCTCACTGAAGTCCATTGGGTTACTTGCATTGTATAAGGTCCCCAGAGAATCGAGAGCCTGCATACCAACTGCTCATACTCAGTTAAGCCTTGACGCTTCTACTTTCATGACATTAACCTGGCATTGTATAAGGTCCCCAGAGAATCGAGAGCCTGCATACCAACAGCTCATACTCAGTTAAGCCTTTATGCTTCTACTTTCATGACATTAACCTGTCTTTTTAAACCTTTTAAAAGACCTTTTCCACTATTTTCTTCTTACAGGCAACCTTGGCGAGGAGAAACTGCATTTGAACTGCTGCCCTGTCAATTTTCACTTTCCTTCTTACATGCTGATAGAAACCCCAAGTTGAAATGATTTATTACGAAAATATTATCTAACACAAATGAGCTATTAATTGATCCATCGCTGCTGGAAGAAGAGAGGAAGTGAAATTTGTGCCCTTCACGGAGAGCGAGCGCTCTAGTTCAAATGAAATAAAAAAGCTCTTAAGGCACCATTTTTGAGCAAGGAGGAAAGTGATCTAAAACTTGAAGTCACATAATTATAGACGATTAAAAACCCGATGTGTCCAGCTTTGTAAGTGATGGATATATAAATGGCAATTAAAAATACTAACTCCATTACAATGGCAATAGGATACTCTGAGCTATGCATTACGAGAGATAATGTTGTACTTGGGACCACGGATGGCACTTAGCTTTCCAACGCATTTGCGGGGTGACAGGCCTTGTCCTGCTTTGTTGTCTAATTATAAAGCGAGCTGACAGTGATGGAGCACGAAGACTGAAAGAGAGAAGCCGCCACAAATGGGCTCACTTCAAAACTGTCAATTTTACAGCAAGATACTTGGGAAGGATTTTACTGGAACTTCGGCAGAGCTTAAATCATATCACTTTTCCCATGAGGGATTACAGATGGTTTCCTATGGTTTGCGATAAAGTTAAACTACGGAAATGAATTAGACAGGGCTGCTTCTATAAAAGGAACAAATAATAATTACAGCACTGGCCAGGTTGGAACCTACATCCAATGTATATCCAGTGCATGCTGCAGGGGGAAATAACACTATTATTCCACGTTTCCTGTTAAACTCACATGGGAAGCTTGTCTACACACACAAGGACTATTTTATCTATGGCATTATAGGCAGTGCAAGCCCCATGTGAGGGCGGGACATATAGGTATCGTCTGCACTCCTTGCTGTATTTGCTTTACTCACCTTCGTCTGGGATATTGCAGATTATGTAGCACAAATTGAAGCTCTCTAGTCCGGCACCCTCAGGACCTGACCGGTTCTGAACCAGAGAATTTGCCAAAGCACGGGAGATTAATATTACCTAGCAGAGTTACCAGCAGCTCCTCTGCTTACTGGGCTCTTAGAAGTCATGTAGGAGTAAAAAAGAGCTAAATAACAGCTCAGAACACTGACAGCCAGGACTGGTGGTTCTAAACAAACTTTACGGGACTGCAAAAAACTTGGCCACACCCATGATGCGTTGACATCTGGCTAACTAAAATCATGCTGGACTATGGATATTGCCGGACTAGAAAGGTTCAACCTATATGTTTATTTTATGACTTTTAAACCCAACTTTGTACTTCGGGATAATTTAAGCACTGTACCCAGATATATAGACACCTGTCCCTTAAACTGTATATTACATAATTTTAACATTTGTCTATGGAGTGTGTATACTGACTTATTTACATTTACTTCTAGGTAGATTCTTTGTTTTTACCAGAATAGCTTATTTTACAACAGCTTTCAACAACTGAAGCAAAACAAGACAACGAAAGGAGAATCTGACTTTAACAGGAAGCCTTTCTAAAAAGAATTGTTTTAAAATGCCAACACGTTTTTAATAGTTAAACACTTGACTGTATATGTTCATTTGTTATTGCAGGATTCCGCTCAATACAAGTTCCAGTCATTGCCTCAATCTACAAGAAGAGATGTGATGTGATAGTTTTCAAGATTTGTATAAGCTCATAACGGCAGCTTCACTAAACTGTAACAACAATTAAAGATGGCAAATTAATGGGAACATTTCTTGCGTGGTGTAATTACTTCAAAGTACTAAATACATGTCCATAGAAAGTTACTTAGTTTACTTCCAAAATAAACTTTCAATTTAAAGGAAGAAAAAAGGTTTCTATGTAAATATTTAGAGGATAGCTTAACTTTATCTTTAAAAAAATTAGCTACATCATTAAAAGGAAGTCAGGTTTCATGTTGTATTATCTCCTTAAGTTTGATGGCTCATGTTCAGAAACTATATATATATATATATATATATATATATA